AGGACCAGTGGCAACTTCTCAGGGAAAGAGTAGTGGCAGGAGAAATATAAATAGTTGTTGGGGAGGAAAAGGAGACCTAAATTTCTCCTATCACAAAGCCTGACTCTGGTTCATGCTCTATATTATAAGAGTGAGTAAGAACACTTGGGTGGTGTCTAACAGAGACTCTGAAGCCACCAGGGCAGAAGACAAGAAGCTGAGTTGAATGCTTCTGGGTTAGAGGGGCCACCTCATTTGCATCCTCTTCAGGAAAAGCAGCAATATCATAGACTCAGGAATATGGCCCTGCCCCACAGGGGTAAAGTAGTGAAGTAACAACCCCTGAGTTGATGTAAATATTTGTGACTCTAATGATAAATGTGTTAATATTAATAATATTTATATTGCATAGTTGACTTTATTTGAATAATGATTCCATGTCAGGCTTCTAAACATCTAACACGTGCTGTGGTCTGAATGTTTGTGTTTCCTTCAAATGCATGTGTTGTTGAAACCTAACTCCCAAGGTAGGAGAATTAAGAGGTAGGGCCTTTGGGAGGTGTGTTGATCATTAAGACCCTACCTTCTTGAGCAGGATTAGCGCCTTTGTAAAAGAAGCCAGAAGGTGCTGGTTTGCCCCTCCCGCCATGTGAGGATGCACAACAATTCACCACATATAAAGAAAGGGCTCTTACCAGATGCTGAATCTTCTGGCATCTTGACCGTGGACTTTCCAGACCCCAGAACTGTGAGCAATAAAATCTGCTGTTTTGTATCCCCGTTCAGGATGTTTTGTTATAGCAGCCTGAGTGGACTACGACATGCTACTCACTTAATCCCCCGAATAGCACCTTGAGGTAGAAAATTATCTTAATTTTGAAGATGTGGAAATTAAAATAATAATAAGTTAGGTGGCTTTCTCAAGTCCTACAGCTAGCAAATGGTGGAGTCAGGATGTAAAAAAAAGTCCTAGAAATTCCTGCCAGTATGAATCCCTCTAGTATTAGGTTTAGATCATTAAAGGTTTAGTAGCAATATTATTTCATGTGACCTTCTACCTAGTTTCTATCAGTCAATCTAAACAAAAAAAAAAAAAGGATTTTTCTGGGTGCAAAGATGGGTGGGCAGTGGTGGTATATGTGTGTAAAAAGGTATTGAAATTCTTGTCGATGAATTTATACTTGAGGGCTCCCTTAGTTCTGAAGTCACTCAAGCCAAGTTACCCTAATGTTTTGTGCGACTTTCTTACGCTTTCCTGTGCAGTGACATAACTGCTAGTTATAAATGGCCATTTAATTAAGGTTAACGAAGACTAAATAAAATAAAAGATTTAATTCCTGATATATTAGTTACATTTCAAGCACTCAGTTGCTTCATGTGGCTAGTGACTACCATATGTTAATATAGGAAGAAAAATGCTTTCCATCATTCAGAAAGTTTCATTGGCTAGTGCTATTTTGAGTCATTTGACTTATAATGATCTGCCCAAAGAAGTTGATTAAACTCATATCCTTTGCCTTGCTCTGTTTCATATATTTTATGCTTGGAAAGAGTTTCTGATTCCATTAAGAATTTGATGAAAGCCATCACTCAGAAATTGCATACAATTCTGGCAGGATCATGGCCCCTCTGTGTAATAGTTATCTATTGGTGCATAGAGAATCATTTCTACACTTAGAGGCTTTAACACATCAATATTTATAGCAGCTCAATTCACAATAGCTAAACCCTGGAACCAACCTAGAAGCCCTTCAACAGATGAATGGATAAAGAAAATGTGGTACATGTACACCATGGAATATTACTCAGCCTTAAAGAAGAATGCAATTATGGCATTTGCAGGTAAATAAATGAAACTAAAGACTATCATGCTAAGTAAAATAAGTCAATCCCCCAAATCCAAAAGCCCAATGTTTTCTCTGATAAGCAGATGCTGATCCATAGTAGGGCAGGGTGGAGGGTAGGGAAGAATGAAGGAACTTTGGTTTGTGTACAAGGGAGTGAGAGGAGGGGTGGAGCTGTGGGGATTCAAAGGACAGTAGAATGAGACAGACATTATTACCCTATATACATGTATGACTACACTACTGGAGTGATTCCGCACCATGTACAGCCAGAGGAATGAGAAGTTGTGCTCCATTTGTGTACAATTTGTCAAAATGCATTTACTGTAAAATCAATCAATCAATAAATTAAAAAACTCATAAAATAATTATAACAAAACTATTTGTTTCAGGAAATAAATTATTATATTAAAAAATTGTTTTAAACACCAAAGTTTTACTTTTTTATTTTTTTTTAGTTACACATGACAGTAGAATCCATTTTGATATAACTATACAAGATGGATTATATCTTATTCTAATTAGGACCCCATCCTTGTGGAAGAAGTACACAATGGTGAGATTCAGTGTGATGTATTCATATATGTATACAGGAAAATCAGGTCACATTCATTCTACTCTCTTTCCTTTTCTCATCCCCCTCTTTTCCCTTCATTCTCCTTTGTCTAATCTACTGAACTTCTATCCTTTCTTTCCCCCTCTTCCTTACTGTGGATTACATTTCACTATCAGTGCAAACATTCAACCTTTGGTTTTTTGGGACTGGCTTATTTCACTTAGCATGATAGTCTCCAGATCTATTCATTTACTGTCAAATGTCATAAAATCATTCTTCTTAATGACTGAGTAACACTCCATATTATATATAAACACATTTTCGTTATCCATTCATGTGTTGAAATGCACCTACATTCACTCCATAGCTTAGCTATTGTGAAATGTGCTGCTATACATTGTGTGACTGTGTCACTGTAGTATGCTGATTTTAAATATTTTGGATAGAGATGGAGGAACGGGATAACTGGGTCAAATGGTAGTTCCATTCCAAGTTTTCTGAGGAATCCCCATACTACTTTCCAGAGTAGTTGCACCAATTTGCAATCCCACCAACAATCTTTGAGTGTATCTTTCCCCACATCCTCACCAACATTTATTGTTACTTGTTTTCTTGATAATGGCCATTTTGACTGGAGTGAGATGAAATCTCATTGTAGTTTTGATTTGTATTTTTTCATGTATTTATTGGCCAGTTGTATTTCTTCTTTTGAGAAGTGTCTCTTCAGTTCCTTGGCACAATTATTTATTGGGTTATTTGTTTTTCTGGAAAACACCAATGATTTACTTTCTCAGAGAGTTTTGTGGTTCAGGAGTTTGGGAATTGCTTAACTTAATGATTCTGGTGTAGAACTCTCCTTGGATTGCACTAGGTTTGCCAGAGTTAGCATGAAAAAGAGAAAATGTTCATCTAAATAAAAGATTCAGTTAAATAATAAATATTTTTTAGTGTAGTATGTAGGGAACATGCTTTTATAGGGAAAACATTCCATGTTATCTGAAATTTGGATTTAGCTGGGTATTCTCTATTTTATCTTACAATCTTAGGTTGCAGTCAAGGAGCAAGCTGGGGTCTTGATCACCTGAGGACTTCAACTGGGGATCACAGATCCATTCTGGAGGCAGCTCATTTTCATGTCTCACAACTTGTCCTGCTTCTTCATAGGAAGATTAATTCTCTGCCACATGGAACTTTCTGTTGGTCTGCTTGAGTGTTCTCTTGACAGGTCAGTTGGCTTCCTGAAGAGTGAATGATTTAAGAGAACACAGTATCATTTATGACTTGTCTTGAAATTCACATTCCATCATTTCTAAAATATTGGGTTGGTTGCAAAGATCAATCCTATTCATTGTGGGAGGGGATTACATAAGGGGCCAGATTCATCTTGGGGGCCATCTCTAGAAAATATACACTAATTTTGTAGAGTATAATCTTCATGAGGGTATAGTTTTTCTATTTTTTCTTCACTTTTATGGTCCCAGTGGCTATAACAATGCCTTATAAAATTTTGTGTACCCAATAAATATTTTTTTAGTTGTCTATGGACCTTTAATTAATTAATTAATTAATTCATATATGGTGCTGAGAATCAAATCCTTTGCCTCACACATGAAAGGTGAATGCTCTACCACTGAGCTACAAACCCAGTGCCCCAATATATGTTTGCTAAATGAAAGAATAAAGGGACCCTTGGTCCAATACTTTAACCCCAAAGATTCCTTTGGCTTTGGGATTTTATAGGATCAAAAGATGTTTTGCCAAATAGTTTAGGGATGAAGAGACTAGAATATAAGTAAGAAGAATTTGCAGGGGTGTTATTTAGGAATATATTAATAATGTTGTTAATAAATGATTATTATGGTGGTGTTAAATGAATATAGGGTTCTGTGTTAGAAACTTCTTTTATGTACCTAATTTCATATGTGTAGACTTTCACTTAGTATTATGGAAAAAGATAAAGGATTAAAATGCAGATACTATGAAGAATATTAACACACACATACATACATGCAATATGTGTGCACACACACACATACACACACACACAGAGATTGAGAGAGAGAGAGAGAAGAGAGAAAGAGACTATTGAGCTCTAGGTTAAAAATGGAAAGGAAACCATGAGATTTAATAGAATGTCAGAAAGGTTTTTTGAAGAAAAGTATTTGGCATAGTCTTGACGCATAAATTAAAATCTGGGAGACAATAAAGCTCATCATAAGAGTGTATTTTAGAAAGAGAAGAGTGTGGGTAGTAATTCAAAGCTGACAAAGATAAGAAAGGAAAGGTTTGTGTGTGGAAAAATAAGACTAGCCCTCTTTATATTGATAGTGTGACTCTGTCAAGTTCTGTCACTTTTTGATGTCTGCTGGTGTTTAAACTTCCCAAGATAGAGAGCTGACCTGTGAAAAGTCATATGGCTGTCACCAGTCAAATCACAGTTTATCCCCGAAGAGATCTTATGGGACTTGCTTTTACTAGTGAAAGCCAGCAGGGAGATTCTGGATTCAAGATTCCCTTCTCAGGTACCATGTCTTCCCTCAAGATACTCCAAGTTTTTGAAGTAATGGAATTAAGACAGGAGTCAGTTTTAGAAAAAGCCTAGCAGTTTATTTCTGGATGGTTTACAAAGGGATGCTTGTCTCTTTACACCTTCTCAGGAGGGTCTGCAAAGCAGCTTCAGCTGCTCTCTGGACGCTGATACAGTGGTCTTGCCGAAGTTCTTGGAGACCTGAAATGGAAAGAAGAGCAAAGTTAATTAAGGAGAGAGAGTCAGAGCCCAGCAGGAAAAGCAACCCAAAGCAAGGTCCACTTTACACAGCACTGGAAGGTTAGCAGAGGGTCAGGCCTGTGAGCAACTGTTTCTCACACTCATGTTTTACTCTAAAAGGCAGAATTTGGAGCTGCAAGTTGAGGAACTATTTTAACATTGAAATAGGGGAGAGGGTGTAGTTCGGTGGTAGATGTATGCTCAGCATGAGCAAGGCCCTGGGTTCAAGGCCAGGCACACAAACAAACAACCCTGACCTTTTGATCGGTAGGGGTAGACACAACCTCCAGCTGTCACAGTCTGATGGGAATGCTGTCTGCAAAGGGGTGGAGCTGGAGATTATTTTATGCACCATGGAAATTCCAGTGTTTAGAGAACCTCAGAGACAATGATTGGGCACTAAAATTTTCTTTTTCTAAGTTTACATGGAACTTGGAGAAATAAAAGTTTCTCTTTCCCTCAGAATGGAAACTAGAATGGTACTCACGTGTGATCAATTGTTCTCTCTCTAATAATGCCACGTATTGGTTGGTCAAGTTGAGAACAATGGCATCTAAAGTCAACAGGAGAAAGAGTTACTGGTTTCATCAAAGGGGAGGAGTAGATCATGTCAGACTGCCCACCTGGCCAGAAGGTAAATGGTCTAGTTAATGAATGAGCAAATTAAATAACTTTCTGTGAGTCCCTTATAGGATGATGTGAGTGGAATCTCTATTGAGCTTTGAGAACTATGTCTGGAAGTGGTCACTCATCCAGAGAGTATTGGGAAAGTATTGGCCCTGGGTAGGGGTGTGGGTGCAGGCATTGTGTTTCAAACTTGTTTAAGATATGGTTCCTGTATTCAAGAACTTGTAAGGTATAAGGTGGCTAAGCCAGTGGGCCTGTCCCCTGTAGGCTGGTTAGTCAGAACAGGCTTCAAGCTAAAACTTGGGAATTTTTATAATAGAAAGATCTTCCAGGATTCAATTATTTCCCTCTCGATAGAGTTGACCAAGAGGTGACTCACAGATGCCTACTGGTTCCCATTATCAGTGTCAGCGTGTTTTCCTCTTATATCACGCTTTCTGCCCAACCTCTCAGTTTGAAGTGAGTTTAGAATCTGGAGTATGGTTCACGTTAAGGAATGAAGTGAAAGGAAGTATTTAGGCAGAGGTGGCAGGCTTGGAACAAAGACTTGGGAAAAGCAAGAGCAATGCTTAGGATGAAAGGAACATGGAGGGCTCAAGAGGGAGAAGAGTCTGATGGGAGGAAGAGCTCAGGATTGGCAAACCAGAGGAGGTGATAGGTTTTCATTTGCAAGAGAAAGCAAATTCCTTTGAAGGAAGTTGTTGCAAGACATAAAATGACTTTATTCTCAGCCTTTCTAAAAATTTTCATACCGGTAGTAACAGTGTTTATGCTGGGGTAGGTTAAATACTTAGTCCAGGAGAAAACTTGATAGGGAGGATAGACACATCTGAGAGGGCAACATGGATGTGAGCTCACCTGTGAGCTTGAGGGCTGCACTTCGGATCACCTCCCAGTTGCTGTTGAAGAAGGTGAATGAGTGTGTGTGAAGGATCCACAGAATTTCTTGGTTTTTCTTTGCCTAGATGAGATGTGTATCACAAAAAGGGCGACTGGAAAGGGACGATTTACTACATTCTGCATCTTGCAGGCCCTCAGAAGGGAACCCTAAAGGCCAGTGGACATGCCCACAGCTAGTCATTGATTTATTAACGGATTGAAAATTGTCTTGTGGGTACTTTGATCTCAATTTTATCAGGAAGGCACTGGGGCTGAAGGAACTAATCAACGGATGTGAGTCTCGTGAACCTAGAACAGATCCTACTCAGGACTTGAGCTGGGGGGAATGTTGGGGGGATATCAAGAAACACTGTGATCCTTTCAGGACAGTGGTGGCGCTGGCCAGAGATTCCTTGCTATGTTGTTTTAGGTTCACCCTCTGGGACCTGTCTAGACTCTTGTTCTGCCATTTTCAAGGAAGCATTTACTGTACACTCACCAGTTTCACACAGAATTGTCTATAGAAATCCCTGGCCCTTAGTAGATCCTGATCAAGGAGATGGTCTAATACCCCATAGAGCTCCTGAAGGCCCAGGAAGGGGATGCAGATGACCAAGACATCATGGCAAGCCTGGAAAACAGTGTTCTGTGTCACAGTCCATAAGGCCAGGGCCCTCCTCCCACAGGGGAGAAGTGCTGACTCGTGTTTGGAAAGGAACAGTGTAAGTCAGTGTGGTTTGGAGGGTGTACAGTCTCCCTGGTATTTTCCCAGTTTCAAGGATGGAGGAGGAAACTTGGGAACTTGTTGTAAGAATGTACCCAGAATTGGAGAAGCAGTTTTCAGGTTCACCTTTGTGGGGATAGGGTGACTTCAGATATGGCTTCTAGTCCCGCTAGACCAGGCTTACTGGTGCTTCTCAGCCCTGGGGAGAGGAGGAGGTCTGGGTATCTGTGGAGGGACACTTACAGCTCCAATCTTGGGATTGGGGTCCCAGAGGTGGAGAAGGAACGAGATCATGCTCTTTTTTACTTCCTCAGCAAAAAAAATCTTCCACCTTCTTCCTGTTAGGGATGCCAGATCCTCAAATAACAAGACGGAAGTCAGTCTCACATCATCTTGCTCCTGTGGTAACAAATGTTACCTTCTCACAGGCCAGTCCCTCCTGGACCTCTTTGGTAACCTCCCCAACCTGCTCCACTTCAGCAAAGGAAGGCTGGAACTTAGGCACTAAGCACACTATTGCCACCACCCCTGTGTATTCTCAGAATTCTCCTCTTTCTCTCCTTGTAATGCATGAGTTAAAAAAACCAAGGGCCTGGAGTTCAGGTGATGTTATGGAACTAGAGACTCGATTTTTGTCTTTGAGTAGGTAGTGGGAAAGTGTGACGACAGGAACAATTAAAGGTGTCTGCAGAAGTCCGAGAGGATTCCAGTTAGCTCAAGTACATAACATTATCCTAGGGATATGGGAGCTCTAATCTAAATTTTCCCAGGTCCAGAACTCCCCTTCAAGGTGCCAAATACTCAGGAATTTGGGCTTTGGGTCTCAGTTAAACAAACAAGTTGTGAAACTTGACTGCTTTGTTGTCCAGGAGGGTAGGAAATGATTTAAAAAAAAAAAAAACAAAAAAACAAAGGGTAAGATTATGGAGCAGGGCAGCCTCCTATTATTTCATATGTTCCAGCAATGAAAGAAAATAAAGTGAGATGAGTTTTCTGGACAACTCCCGCCCCCCGCCCCTAGGCCTAGAAACCTCCTTTAAAATACTCAAGAACACAGAGGGATAAAAGCGAAAAGTAGGCCTGAGTAGCATAAAATTATTTATCTAAATAATATCTAAACAATAAACATGAAAAGGAAGATGATATAGATCATCCAGAAAAATAAAAATAACTCATTAGGGAAAGATCAGAATAATTAAACAAGCACACCTGTGCAATGGACATGAAAATAGGAACATCTTAAAATATATTAGGAATAAGGCCAAAGTGTATTTTTAAAACATCTCTTTGTAGAAAAATGAAGAAAATCAAAACAAAGTTCCAAAAGGTAAAGAGGCATTTATTTTAAAAAAGGAAAAAAAAAAAACCAAAAACCAAAAACAAACCCCCAAAACCAACTTTGGAATTTTATAGCATCAATAAAGATAGGATGATGAGAAAGCAGAAGAATTGGCAAAAACATTTTAGGGTGTCAGGAGAGATAGTAAGAACTATCTGTCAAATTCAACGTGTTTGGTTTTCTGTTAAAAAAAAAAATGGATTCACAGAGAGTAAAGTGATGACTCAGGATGACATGTGGGAAATGACAGCAGGAAGGTTCCAAAGCATGGGGAGGCAGCCACGAGTTTGGTTCTACCATTGCACTGAAGCATCGTCATGTTTTGAGAATTACCAGGAAGTATTTATATACTTAGAAAGAGAGACCGCACTAAGGGATTACAGAGTTGTAGGCTTAATCTGTAGAAAAGTACAGCTCTAAATATACTGAAAGAACACTACTGGAGAATAAATTGTATGTCATAACTAAGACCTAAGTTTTGTCAAACTTTACTTTCATGCATATGTGATGGTATTGATGGCTATTAGGAATGAGAAAGATCCAATCTAACAACCAGCTAAAATTTAGATTTTTTTTTTTTTGCTCCTGCAGTAGCACTGAGAAACTTTATAGGGACCACAAGATCTTAGGTAGACTTGGGTTTTACTGTAGGCCCAGATTCAAGAAAAGTATTATTAGTTCAACAGCAACCCCAGGAAACCCAACACATGGGCCCCCCAGGGGTAACTTCAGTCCTTTGTTAAAGGTTGCAATCGGTAATTTGTGGAATGAAAAAAAGAATGATAGCTATTTTTAGAGAAGACACCGAACTGCGTGGGAGCCCAGTAAGCACTTTTGATGATAATTTGACAATTAAAAGTGATATTGGTAAATTATAGAAACTAGCTGGGAACAACAACAACAAAAAAAGCAGAAAGCTCCTTTCGAAGATTAGGTTTAGGCTAGCATATAAATTGGGGAAATTTCAAAAATTAAAAAAAAAAAACCTTGAGAATGATTGACTGTGGGCATATATGGAAGATTAGAATCTACAGATGCATGGTTAATAAATTGCCAGAGAGGAAGAAAGAGAAAGATTTTTAAAAATTGAAGCAAATAAATAGGAAAAGGTTGGACTTGAGAGGTAATTTTTCTTCAAATGGTATTCAATACTTCTCAGGCCTCATTTGGAGATCTGACTCAGACAGAGGCTTATAAAATATTTAATGAGCAGAAAAATTAGGTTTATGATAAATAATGAAGGAAACGAAGACTTTTCAATCTGGAGACTGGAAGGTAAATAAGTAATTTAATAAAGTCTTAATGTTAATGAAAATGCACTGCAGGAGGCAACCAGCAGCTTGCCGTCAGACAACAGAGCAAGGTGAAGCAGATATAGATCACAAAATAATTGATCTAATTTGTTATGAAATTGTATGATTTTTCCATTGATGGTGTGAATAAACCAAAAATAAATAATAAACTGTAGTTTTCTGGAAGGTGTAAAAAATTGACCTTCCCTGTGTGGGATTGCTGATTCATCCTTTTGGAAGTTAAGGCTGTGAACTACATTGGGAGTTGGCAAACTTTCTCTCAAAGGGCCAAAAGAGTAATCATTTGTGGGCCATGTGCTCTTTGTAACAGATAATCAGCTCTGCTGGTGGAGGGTGAAGGCAGCCACAGACAACATGGAATCAGTGTGGCTGTGTTCCCATAAAACTTCATTGACAAAACCTGGGTTTGGTCCGTGGGCTGTAGCTCACTGACTCCTGAATAAAATGAGACTTTGCATTTTGCAAGTGGAAAAGACAGTGTCAGAGCAACATCATCTTTATTCAAGGCCTAGTTTTGCACTGGGTTCCCCACAAAGCCAACCTTGAAGTGAGCATTTAGGCTCAAGTAATTTCTTTGGGAGGTGACGACTGGAAGCAAGCCTGGGGAGTGGGGACGAAATAGGGAAGGAAAGAGAACTAAGAAAGGGAGTCTTAGTGAGTGCATAAATTACAGGAGCAAGTGGTGCTCCATCTGATCCTTCCTTTTAAGGAAGCTGGGAATCTAGTTTGGTGTTTCCTGTTATTTGAGGGTCCTTTTCAGGGCTTTCTTTCCCCAACAATACTAGCTCATCCTGCCTACATCAGTCATGATTCCCAGGCCAGGGAGCACCCTCAGGTAGACAGAGACAAAGCAAGTCATCGTCCTATATGAGAATTGTTGGCAGGTGACCTCTGGGCTGACCAAGGAATATTGGTAGAACACAGACGTCTTCTACAAGCAGTATGTGAATGCTTTTTCTGTTTACTCACTCCTGGGGAAGGAAGATTCCTGAACAAGCTCACTTACATCTTCAAAGAAGGTTCTTGTTTGCAGCACTATTTCCTTGAAATAGAAGCTCACGTCTCTGTCTGTAAGTAGCTCCAAGACCTTTTTGAGAGCCTTCAAGCTTTCACAGACGACTTCAGTGCGAGCCAGGTGATACAGGCCTCTGATGATAGATTCTAACATTATCTGCTTATGCTTCTTCACCTATTTTGAAATACAGTCTCTTAATCTCAAAAATTCCTCTATGTGTATCTGGAAGGCTGTAGGAGTTCCCAGGCAAGGAGACTGAAATTCTGTTAGGGTCACACGTACTTGAACCCAAGAGCCACTACACTTCAGTAATATATTGGGATTTTTGATTAATTTCTAAGCAACTACCAGGTGTAGGTTAGTAAATAATTATTTAAAAACTACTTAATGGATGTATTTTCCCCGTGAACACCTCTTACCTTATAAGGAGCCCCACATGCTGTGTTACCGAGCCCTCGGATGGCCATTTGCCTCAGCGTGGCATTGGAATCCCAGGCACTCTGATCCATCAAGATCAGCACGTCTCGTAGATTCCCCAGCTTCCAAAGGCTTGGCTCCTTCATGAGCTGAAATCAACACACTCCTCCCCTTTAGTTAGGATCTGACCTCCCTTTCAAGAGGGTGCCAAATGCATCTTAAATACGAAGAAAGGGCCTCACTGCTGCGTAGTAGAGAAGAAAACTTTTGGGTGAGCTAGCCGGTTTTGTAGAGGATAAGCTCCAGCTATGACAGCCCACAGGCCAAGGTTATGTGGTCATGAGAACCAGGATACCTGAATAAGAGGATTTTCCCAGTCTCAGTGGGAAAACGGGGCAGAGAAAACAGCGGTTACCGATGATGTTTTTTCTTTGGAGTGTTGGGAACAGTCTTCCTGGAAGGGTCAGTAATGTTATGATTGTTGGTAACTTTTTGTTTTCTCCCTCCCAGGTTTAGTTCCCTCCCTTCTTTGCCCTGGAAGGTTTATTTCTGCAGACAGAGGGCAGGGTGTGTTTGAGGGAGTGTTCTTCCTCTTTTGCTCCCTGCTTAGGTATCTCTGGCAGGAGCTATTTCCTCTGCTACTGAAGTTCCCCTTGAAGGTCCCCATTCTATGGTTTCAGCTCTTACTGAGCACTAGACCCTGAAAGAAGTACCCCAAGAGACCCACTGAGCGTGCTTTGATGGGTGCTCTCTCTTGCCTCAGAGAAGAAAGCTGTGCCGGTGATCCGGTAGTTCTCTGAGGAGGAGGTGAGGGATGGGAAGAGTTGCTCCATGATGTCCAGGATGACTCCACGCTGCCACACCAGCATGCTCCTGCAAAATGCAAATTTTAGAAGAATCTTTTTTATTTTTCTCTAAGCAATGGAGGAAATCTTAGCCTACTTGTTCCTCAGGCAAATTATCTAAAAAAGAATGCTTGATGAAAGATCACCAAGCCTTAAATTTTAAAATAGCCCATTCAACTATCCAGTTTAAATGTCATTTGTCTGAAGCTGTTCACTTGAATCTTCTCCCCTTTTCTTGAGGGGAGTGAGGAGTTTGGGGCTGATCCTACCATCTCTTGCTCTTTCTTTCCTGTGTTCTTCTTTGATCATACATCCTATGTGAGCCAGTTTTTCTCAGTGAAGTTGCCTGTATTGCACTTCTATTCTTTTCTTTTGGTTTTTCTCTTTTGCATCTGGTTCTAGACAATGTACATTACCTGGCCAGTGCACATACGCCTATGTGATGGCTATCAAGACTGCAAAGGAGGGTCCACAAATTGTCCCCCTCGTCAGATTCTTTTGCAAGGCCTTCTTTCATGGCTTGTGCTTGTAAACATTTCAGAGTTGTAGTTGAGAGCCTAAAGGAGACAGTAGGCATCACAAAAGTAAGTCAGTCCCAAACAGGAAATTGTGAAATCCCAAAGCCACTCTTCCCGCTCCCCATAATGCTTGAACAACCCTGGATTTATGGATGTTGTGCAAGAGAAAAACAGGCAGCTCTGCTCTCATACTTTATTCTTGGGATCAAAGGAGACGTCCAGATGATATGGGCTAGTAAATATTGCCACCAAATCTTGTCAACCTTCTACAAGAAAAAATGAAAACAAAAAACCCTGAGAATGGAAGGTGAAAAATACCCTATTTCACTGATTCTAAAGTAGCCTCTGTGAGATCAGGATTCATCTTGCACAGGAAGGATGGTACGGTACACAGTTACTGTTGGCTAGACAGTGGTTGTGACGTGGTAACTATGGTTTGTGCATTCACATGTATGTGGTTGGATTCAGGTATAGCTCTTCATATTGTTTTCATTTTAGTCAAGTTGCATGTGTTATTGTAACAGCATGTATTGAGTCTACATGCCTTTTAAAACACTTTTACAAAAGTTGCACTATGATTTGACATTGGAATGAAAACTTATGCAAAAGGTAAAGGAAACAGTGATGTTATATAGGTTGAAAATCTCATGCCTAGTAATCCTTGATGAACTCATTTTTTAGTTTATGAATTATATTTTGATATTCATGATATATGTGATACAAGTGGTCAAATTACCATTTAGATAAAAGTTGATTTACCAAACAATTGTTTTTGATTTTTGGGTTTTTTTGTTTGTTTGCATTTTTTGTTCTTTTTAGTTATACATGACAGTAGAGTATCTTTTGACATATTTATACAAACACGGAGCACATCTTATTCTAATTAGGATCCCAGTCTTGTGGTTGTACATAACGTGGAGATTCACTGTGGAATATTTATATATGTACATCGGAAAGTTAAGATTCATTCCACTCTCTTTTCTTTGCATGTCCCCTCTGCCTTCCTTTGTTCCCCTTTGTCTAATCAACTGAACTTCCATTTGAAGAGCTCTTTGGATAAGTGTAAAACAAAAATTTAAAAATATAAGTGGCAGCTGCATGGCCGGGCTGTTGGCACCACAGTCTTCTATGGTGCTCCTCAGACCTTCCCCCAACAGAAATCCCCCAAAGCAAAAAACAGACCTATCTGGAAGAGGTGCATTTAGAAGACGCCATCCGATTCTGTCCAAAGGAAGAAAGAGAACGTGAACAAACATCTTTCAGAGATCAAAAGACCAGAAAGGGGGATTTTGTACCTCCTTCTGCAAGCTCTTTAAAAAGAAGTCCAGTGGATCAGAATATAAGGAAAAACTAATAATAAGAATCCCTTGGGGGATCCTTTATCCACCAAACAAGATTTCTTCAGAAACCGACTTGCCCTTGCAAATGACCTTGACCAAGGAAGCATTTATATGTGACACATTTAAAGTTGTATTGTCAAGTGGCAAGATAAGGATAAATAAAGCTTGTGTCTATCTGTGTACATATCAATGTATAAATCCCTGAGGAAAGCTAAACTAATATAAATATTTACATATGAAACTAAGTCAGCATACATGACATTGAAGAGATGAAGATTAGTGTACAGTTAAGACCTGTCTTTCAATGGATATGTAACTGATGTGATTCTGCAATCTGTATATGGGGTAAAAATGGGAGCTCATAACCCACTTGAATCAAAGTGTGAAATATGATATATCAAGAACTATGTAACGTTTTGAACAGCCAACAAAAAAACAAACAAACAACAACAACAAAAAAACCTGTCTTTTTGAATCACAACACTTGGGAAAAGGGAAATGAAGACTTTTTTTTAATCTCATTATAGAAAAACACAATAAATTTGGAGGAAAATAAGTGTATATAAGAAGAAAAAAATGTATGTAAGAAAGCATTGACTTATGGCTTAGTTGATATCTTTTTCTCCTTTCTCAATGGTACACAAAATAATGTTGTTTTTTTCAGTTGTTGAAGTCTAGATTTGATGAAACATGGCATTTGTTTGTGTTTTCCTTCTTTCCCTACTGGTCTTAATATCACAGAATTCCAGCTTTCCTGGAAAGACCCTGACAAAGGAAACCAAACGAGCAGAGTGGGCCCTTTAGGAAAGAAGGCATAGCCATTATTCCCTGTGTGCCCGTTTTGGCAGCCACAGTGGGTACTGGGTCAGGGAAAAGGAACTGCAGGGCCTGCCATCAGAGCCTCAGGACAGTAGGACCTCATTTCTTAAAAATATTGGATGCCCTGCCGATAGGTGCAGAGCCTGGCTTTCACAGCCCCTCTTTAGGACTCTGCCTGTGGAGGACAGCCCTGAAATATTCTCCCTGCCAGGGCATTTACCTGCAGGGGTCTGGCATCTGCTGCCGTTCCCCAGGCTGCATCACGTGCCTCCTGTGGCTCATGAAAGAAGTGGGCATCTTCTGGCCGAGCGTGCAGCTGACCAGTTTCAGGAGGAGAGTGAACAGCTCTGGGTACAAGCCGGTGACAGGGGTTCCCACTGAGATCACTTCATATATAGCACAGGCCACCTGAGGGGACAAAGCAAGTCAGTCAGATGGCATTCTCTTCTCCAAGACCATCTTCTCTGGGGGCTGACCTTCAAGTTTGTTTTCTCCCCCATTGATTGTTTTCCAAGTTGACAATGCTCAGGATAAAACAGAGGAAAGGGGGGCTTATTTATCTGTAAATGTTTCTCTCTTGGGACTGCCTTGAGAACATCATGTCTATCATCATTGGAGTTTTTCAAAAACCAAAAGGTGTTTTGGTTTTCTTGAGGACTAATTTGGAGATATAGATACATAGATTTGCTCTGGGGCAGGTGGGAACTGTGCTTCCCCAAATGATCAGCCACAGACAAAATTACTGCTGTATTTGTCTAATACGAACTAGGGTAGAGTTAAAGTTTGCATATGAGAAGTACGAATAAAGCCACAGAACCAAGTTCCTGGTGGGAACAGATCATGGAGTAGGGAACGGTTCCAGGCAGGTGATGCAATGTTGGACTCACAGAAATCACTTCTTTCCCAGCTACGTCATCTTCTAATCCCATCTCCAGTTTCTCTATTAAGACTTGAATGACTTTGCCAGTGGAAGCTGGGTTTTCAGCTAAGGCCTTCCACAATGTCTTTGTGTCCCTAGGGTGTTAAGGTAGGAGGTTGAAAGATAAGACACAACTCCTTGGACTGTGAGCTTTTCCATCTGACTCTCTCCAACCACATTATTCTTAATTACAATTTCAAGGACAGATTAAGAAGCTGCATGTCAAGGGATACTAAAGATATTTTATTTAACAATCTATCATTCTGGCCTTGGATTACCAAGGATTGTTAATGTCCATTAAGATGGTAACCTCTCACATAGGTGCATCCTAGGCAACAAGAAAGGAGAGAATATTCACCTTTTAATATCACTTATTTCTATGATGCATATATATTTTGAAATTATAATTCTTTCCACATTTTTATTGGTGCATTATAGTTGTACATAATGATGGGATTTATTATTACATATCCATACATGCACACATGATAACAATATAATTTGGCCAATGTCACTCCTCAGCACTCATTCCTCTTTCCCCGCCTTCCGCCCCGCCCCATTTGATTTTCATGAGTTACAGTGTGTGTGTGTGTGTATGTGTGTGTGTGAGTGTGTGTGTATTTTAAATCTCAGTACCATTCAATAAAAAAACACTTGAAAAAACATTACTTGTGATTCAAATACCAATTTTTAAATTATCCAACCTTTGTTTTCAATCTTTGCTATCTTTCTCTCAAACAGTAAATCCTTCCCCAAGGCCTTGCAGGGTAGCTTTTCCTGGGAGAAAGTACCAGTTCAATCAGAATCTACCTGTCGAAGGGCAGAGGCTTCTGTAAAAGGTTGACAACAACGGCATCCATGTGAAAGCTGGCTATCTGGGAGATGGCTTCTAGTATAAACTGAAAACTTTCCTCCTTTTGTCTGAGGATTGGCATGTGGTGGTAAATTATGCCCAGGATCTCCAGTAGCTAAAAGGAAGCCAAATAAAACATTATGTCACCTTTTTTCACTCTACATGAATGGCCCAGGGAAGGTACCTCAGCACATTGTGGTTGGGTGGTTGATGAATTATAAATAATGTTTAAAACAAGAATTGATTCTATGCATGGCTTATTTCTCACTCAAGAAAGTTACTGGTGAATTGGGTGTTTATTCTTAGTTCAATTTAGGAAACAGTGAAAGAGTGTATTACGCCAGGTACTGTGTTGGGCACTGTGGGTGATATACCAAAGATGAAAAAGATGCAGCCTCCTGCAAAATGAGCCAGTGATCTAATAAAGGCTATCAGTTGGCTCCCCAAAGGAATGTGCTCCAGGTGATACAAGGCAGATGGTATACAAACGGTGCATAGAAATGATAAGGAAATCAAGAAGCAACTGAGTCACGCTGGAGACTTTGGTCTGCGTCTTAAAGGAACTGTAGTAATTTCAAAGGGCAAGGTGGAGATGGTGAGGGAGGGCATCCTGTCAGAAAAAAACAGGTGTGGATGTAAAATAAGAAAACATGAAAATGGACAAAGCACAGAGGATTTTAAGGGCAGGAAAATTATTCTGTGGATATTATCATGGTAGGTACATGTCATTATACACGTGTCAAAATCCCTGGGATGGGCACAGTGTAGAATGCAGTTCCTTAAACCTTAGAGTCACAAACTCTATGGGCTTTGGGTGATATTGATGAGCCAATGTAGGTTCAGGGAGGATAACAAATGTACTATTCTGGAGGTGGCTGTTGATAGTGGGGGAGACTGAGCATGTGTGGAAAAAGTGGGGACTATGGAAACCCTCTGCCCAGTTTTTCTACTGAAACTAAAACTGCTCTAAAAAAGAAAGTCCATAACAAAAACAGCAGGAAAGCATGAACATGAGAAAATGCCAACAAGATTTCTGGAAAAAAGACAATGACACAGTTCAGAGAACTGAGAGGATGATGGGGCATGAAGGGCAGATGCCTTGATAGAAGAGATACAGCCAGACAGATCTCAGAGGGCACTGACGGCCACTTCACTGAATTTTGATGTTAATCTGAGGACAATAGGGAAAGATATCATACATTTGGATTTTTTGATGTGGACAAGGGCATGTATCTAGGTCAAATAATGTTTCTTGTCTTAGAAATTTCTCTTATTTAAAATGTATAGACATTTTGAATTAAAAATTTATTTTAAACACCACATTTTCTCCTTATTCCTTAATCATAAATATCCCTTAGATATAATTATCACTTCAGTATCACTGAAGTTGTGATACTTGAAGAGGATTTAATTCCCTGTTGTAAGCCTTTAAACATTCTTTGAACAATTTCTTAAGCTAAGCACAAACACACAGACATTTCATATTTATCAACTTCTAGTCTCTCCTGTCTGCTAGCATGGTAGAAAAGCCCCATGTTTGGAGAGGTTGATACTGGGGATGGAACCTAGGGGCTCTCAACCACTGATCCACATCCTCAGGCCTTTTTATTTTTTATTTTGAGACAGGGTCTCACTGAGTGTCTGAGGCTGGCCTTAAACTTGCAATCCTCCTGCCTCAGCCCTCTGAGTTGCTGGGATTACAAGTGTGTGCCACGGTGCCAAGTACTAACTAAACACTTTTTAAAAAGTGACTTATTGGAAAGCAATTGGCACAGGGGTAATTTCTAATGCACAAAAGCCATGCTTTTGAAAAATTTTAAAATCTAGAGTCATTCACTCTGGCATACGGGGTGGGGGGGGCAAGGACTTCTTTCTCCCTTTTTCCTTGAGATGTGTTCATTTAGTTAAAAGTTTCTTTCTTACACGTTAATCTTTGAGTAATTTGTATTCTGTGTCTGACTTCAGGAGAGAGGACAGAAGAATCTCTATTTGTAGCTCTTAATCAAGCTTCTTGAATTTAAATTCTGTTCCTTCTCTTAACTCTTCAGTTGGGAGGAAGGATTGAGGGCTTTTCTCTAACCCACTGGCAGCCTTGCTTACCAGACAGTGCACCCCATGGTGTACAAACGGAAAGTGGGAGGAGTAGCAGTGGGATGAGAAGTTCAAGGGTATCTACTTGACTGCTGTTATTCTAGCAGATCTAACAACCTCGTTTTCCGCAATCTGAATGGCGCTGAATCAGAGCCACAACCTCTGGTTAAAATGGGGCAGTTTCGAAAGTTTTTATGATCAAAGACCAGAGAAGCAACCGAGGCAGGACTCAACAAGAGTCCTGTTAACACACAACTTGGCTTTGTGCTGAGGCCTTCTAAGGCTGTGCATATAATCTTGCCTGCTGCCCACCCAGGACAGTCTGAGGAGACGTGGCCTGTTTGGCATTTCAAGAGTAGCAGAGTTCTGCTCAGTTGTACAGTCGGTGGTCAGTTCACCTGGTCTTCCAGCGTGGCTCCGTGCTCCCTGAGGGTGGTGATCATCCATATGCCGCAGGCCTTTGTACACGAGGGATCCAGGCTTTCCAGACCATCGAGGGTCTCCTCCAAGAACATCAGGATTTCTTCACTTGGAATGAATTTGCAGGCAATCTGAGAATGTACCCAGAAAGACTCATGTCACCAAACACCTCATTCTATGTATGGACACTTACAGCATGTTATTTATTTAAGGATATTAGCAACCACTGGGATTTCCAAACAGCACATGACTGAGGCCATTGAAACTAGAGAAAATACTCAAATAAGTTATTGGCATGACCTTTTATCTCTAAGCAAATTTTCTCTGGGCTTGCCTTTTTATCATTTCATATTTATTGAATTTCAAGCTTGCTAAGGCAATTTCCTCTCCAAACCTAAAGTGATAGCAATACTGCATGAGGGAAAAATAATGCATATTTGTACAGCAATTTTTATATTGTAAAGCACTTTCACATACATTTCATGTATCATGTAAATATGTCTTGAGTCTGTTCAAGAATAACTAAGCCTTGAGAATTTGGTAAAACCTACCTACATATAGTAAGTACAACGCTGAGTACTCAGGTAGCTGAAAGTATCCTTATGGAATATGGATTATTTTGGACCCTGTTTTTTTTTTTTTTTGGTTTTCTATGCTTCAATAGTAAGAACAGTCAATAAGGAGAGCAACTAAGAACAGAGCAGGGAGGAAGAGCATGAGAAAATGATTAACATTAAACAGGGGCAAGAGGTGGGAGGGAAAGGGAGAGAGAAGGGAAATTGCATGGAAATGGAAGGAGACCCTCATTGTTATACAAAATTACATATAAGAGGAAGTGAGGGGAAAGGGAAAAAAAAACAAGGGAGAGAAATGAATTACAGTAGATGGGGGAAAAGGGAAGATGGGAGGGGAGGGGAGGGGAGGGGGATAGTAGAGGATAGGAAAGGCAGCAGAATACAACAGTCACTAGTATGGCAGTATGTAAAAACGTGGATGTGTAACCGATGTGATTCTGCAATCTGTATATAGGGTAAAAATGGGACTTCATAACCCACTTGAATCAAATGTATGAAATATGATATGTCAAGAGCTTTGTAATGTTTTGAACAACCAATAATAAAAAAGTACTGCAAACTATAAAAAAAAAAGAAAAAAAAGAACAGTCAATAAAAGTTCAAGAAAATAAAAACTTGGTAATTTTGGTCTCTAGGCACAAGAACTACATGGAATGGTTGATAGCAATATGTGAATATGAGTGTGACACTTGTGTACTTGTGTTGATGAAAAGAGATTGGACAGGCAGACAAAAGCTGGCAGTGCCAATGAGTTCCAGGAACATTTCTGGGCTGTTAACCAAGCGAAGTGGTAATGCTTTGCAGACATGAGAGCACACCTAGCCACAGTGGACAGCCCCCATGCATGGCGTGGTCTGGTGATGGTCCATTGAGACCAAATGAGCTCTTTCCCATGAATAATTGCTCATGAAAGCCATTTCCTGGGTGATCATGGTTCCAAGCTCAAAGGACTACCCTACTGCTTCTATCCTATGAAGCCTCCTAACTTCTCTCCCCTCTTCTCTTCAGTTTCTCATTATCTCTTCTGCTGCCACCTTGATTCAAGCTACCTCATCAAACACCTGGACCCTTGTAGTCTCCTCCAGAAAGACTTCACTAATTTTGTTCTTAGTGAAGTTCTTCAGATACTAGTTTCCCCAAAGCAGCCAATGTGACCCTTTGGGAAATAAAAATATGATCTTTTCTTAGAATCACTATTAGGCCATAGAGGCCATTGCAGATCAGGAAAATGCATCCTATCCTTGGGCTATTTCACTTCCCTCTCTAAGTATATTATATAAGATACTGATTTTATTGGATACTTGATTGTCATCTGTGGAAAAAATTTCTGAGGTGCACATATAAATTTGTGAAGCCTGCATATTTCACACCAGGCACAAATGTATGTACTGCTCAAAATCATTGATTGGCTTTTGATTTCAACAGGGGTACAAACCAATATACTTAATAGGGCCCAGAAATTTCTTCAACAAGCCCTTAGCTAACTCTTAGATTCACTGCTTACTTCTTTCTCCACCTCAGAGCCTTTGTACTTGCTGTGTCCCTAGCTGTGTCTCTCACAAAGGGCTATTTCCTAGGCATCTCTGTGGTGCTCTCCTTCAGAGTGGATTTCTCTAAAGGTTCATTTCTCCTCTATTCCCTATTTCTTCACTTGCCTTTATTTTTCTCAGTTGTCATGACCTGACATTATATTTATTTTTCAGACTCCCTTTACTGGGATAAATCTTGATGAAGGCAGGAATTTCGTCGTCTTCTACCCTTAGAACCTAGAATACAGCCTGGCAATTGCAAGGTGCTTAGGAGATAGTAGGCGGATGAGTGCATGATTGAATGAATGACTGAATTGATTGGCAAATCCTCACTACAACTGTGAAGTAAGCTATCTTCTTTCTTTCTTTTTGCTTGTTTGTTAGTTTGAAGAAGAGTAACACCCCCCACCCCTTCTTTTTTTGGTACCAGGGATCAAACCCAGAGGCACTTAACCACTAAGCCACATCCCCAGTCCTTTTTTTAAAAAAATATTTTATTTACAGCCAGGGTCTCACTGAGTTGCTCAAGGGCTTGCTATGTTGCTGAGGCTGGCCTTGAACTTGAGATTCTCCTGCCTCAGCCTCCTGAGCCACTGGGATTATAGGCGTGTGCCACTGCACCCAGCAAAAGTAAACTTTTAACATCAAGCAGTGCATAGAGTGCATTCAACTGACTCCAAAGCCCTTGCTCCTTCCACTCCCCACCACTGTATCCCACACTGGGAAAGTCTCCTTAGTTTATGAAATTTCTCACACCGTGACACAACCAGTAGCAGCTGTTAAGTAGGCACATGTACCCAAGGTCAATAAATGACAGGACAACAGGTCTTTCATTTAGCTCGAATGTCTAAACTCCTGCTTCCTTCATGATGTGTAGTTCATAGCTTACACATTTGGAAATTAACTCAGGATCATCTTTGTATGCTTTGGCCAATCTCACATATTTGTTACCTTAGCTATTTTAGCAGAAATCTTTATCTGGACCTGCAGGTCTTCACATTCCAGTCCTTGCTGCAAATCCTGCAGTCTTTCCACTTCCATTTGAATACCTAAAGTGAACAAAGGGGAAAATTCATGAGTTCAAAGACCTTACAAAAGTTGAAGGAGCTGGTGATGTGATACTAACTCACTGCTGGATTCCTTAGACACACATTAGGTTGTCTGATGAGATGGTGAACTTAAGAGCAAACATATCCTGAGTAGTTTCTACATGTAAGCACCATGTTATTTACTCTGCATGCAATGATTTATCACTCAGAAAGATCATCTGAGGTAGACTCCTTTGTTCTTGTCCCTATTTTGCAGATAAGAAAACTGGGGAGGAGAGATTTGAAGTCATTTGCCCAAGGTCACACAGTGAGTAACAATTGCAGAGTCAGAATTTGAACCCTGTTCTGTCTGAAGCAAATGTTTAGGCTCTAACAATTCTGCTATATTGCTATTTTTTTTTTTTTGGTGTTCCATTTTCAGTGAGCTACCTTGGGGGGAAATAAAAGGTAACAATTATAATAAGAAATTTACATCAGTAACTGCTTAAGTGATTGTTGATATTAATTTACAAGTGGAAACCTAAACAATAATGATTCTCTGGTTGGATTTGAATGCATATTAATTGTGGAGACTGACACTGGAACCACCCTGTGGAGGGCAGCCTGGCCCAATGGAACACATGTAGACTTAAGAGTCAGACACACCTGAGCTCAGGGCCCAGCTACACTTTCAGTGGTCCAAGTGACTGGTAAACTTCCCTTATCTTAGAACTGATGGAGTATCATCCATGAGTAGTCACAGGTATTTAATTTAGCATCACAATAGTTACTTGGTAGGTGTTTTATAGCACATGTCCCTTCTCCCCCTCTGCCATGCTTATTTGGTCAACCAAGGAAAAAGAGTTAGGTTAATTAATAAGTATGGAATTCTTAGCAACAAACAGTTTGAGGACTGGGGTTTTGTGTTTCAAGAAGTTAAAGAACAGGCAGAAAAATAATAGAATTAAAATTCCTTTCTTCCTTTGAGTTCCTTTCCTGGCATGGTTCTTCTCTTACTGGAATGGTGCCTTAGCACTTTCTTATTTTTTTGTTGTGGCAAAATCATACATCCCTAACAAATTATCTCCCCATATCCTAAGGGATTTTCAGATCTACTCCAACTCTGACAAACAGATTTTTTATTTTTCTTTTGAACTGACTGCCAACCTTATTCACCTACCTCCAACTAAATCCCACCATTTGGCTTTAACACAGTTTCTTTTGTGGTGCTGGAGATTGAACTCAGGGCCTTGCTCATGCTAAGCAAGTGCTCTGCCTGTGAGCAATCCCCCTCCCCAACAACCCCTATACACTTTTCTTAGGTGACTCTTGGAATTGTAACATCTCCATGTCACCAGCATCAGAACAGTACTTAACACATGGAAAAGCACTCAGTAAGTTTTTAAAAACATACTGTTTATTTTAAATCCAAAAACGACCAGTGAACATGGGAATGAGGTGGCATTATACCTGGACCAAGTGTTCCCAGGGACAACTGGTCTACATGAACTGGACACACACCATGCAGGGTTGTCCCTGGTGAAACACCTATTGATTTAGCCTTCAATAGAGGACCCTGATTATTTGTTTCAGCCTGAGACAGAAGTGTTTCAATTCCTTGTATTTTCTGATATTGACAGTTACTCTCATATAGTTGCAGAGCAAGAGGAAATGTGGATCTGTAAGCTCACAAGCCTCCAAAGAATTCGGTCTTAGAGAATTCTGAAAGTAACTTAGCACCATCATAATAGTGCAAGTTTCTCCTGAAAAGAATTATGTTAGAGAAAGCATTGCTAATATGCCTAACAGCTCAGTAATTTAAATAGGAGACTTCCAAAACATGGTGCCTACTTTAGATCTTTGTAATGCTCCAGTGTTATCTTAAAAAATAAGAAGTAAAACAAAGAAACGACCCCTCCCAAAGCAAAACACATAACAAAAAAATCCAAACAAATAAAAACCAGACCCAGTGAGGGAAAATATGACTTGTTTCAATCTCAGCAGAGAGACAGATTCTGTGATTATGAATAAGGCGTGAGAACTGAGAAAAGGAGAACTAAAGAGGTGGGAGGAATGGGAGGAGACATTCACAGGAAGGAGGGAGACATAGGTACACAAAGAGGAAAACTGAGAGTGAAAGGTTATCATTAAAAAAAAAAAGAAAGAAAGGTTATCATTATCTCCCCATCTCTAGGTTTCCCGCCTTTCTCTCACCTTTTACGCAGAACAGGCCAATCATGGAACTCGTGGCTGCCTGGCGGATGGTGGGCAGGATGTCACAGGAGTGAGGAGCCAGGAGCCCCAGAAACGAACCGATTCTGAAGTTCTCTGGTGCCTGCAGGACAAAGGAAGTGCCCTGTGTGATGCAGAGGCTGATGATGACCCTGGGCATTCCCACATTGAATCCCAAGCCCCTTATTTTCTCTCTGCAGATCTTTAGAATCAAATTGAAGCATAAACCTTTTCCTAGGAGGCACATGAGAGGAGGAGCTGAGCAAGCGAAGGAAGAGACAGCTGGACAGCCTACCTCTAGGGTGTTTCCCTCTCTCTGGACTCAGGAGGCCATCTCCGTGGTCCTCTGGAAAGCCTTCCACTTTGGGACTCCAAAACCATCAGGTAGGAGCTTTGGATTCAAGAGGCCTCAGAAATCCCTGTGATTGGCAAGCAATGAAATCTGTTTGTTTCTAGGGGATTACTTGCCTCAATATCATTTGTCAGCACTTTTGCCATGATCTGGAAGGCTCTTTCTCTTTCCCACTCTTTCTGTGAAACAAGCCACATTCGGAGAAGCTGTTGGTCAAAGAATAAATGTCCTTTCCTTAGTATTCTTCATATTCATTGGACCTCCTTCTCTCCCTCTCCCTCGCTGTCCCTGTCCTTCTTCCTCTTCCAAACAAGGCTCCCATATCCCCATAAAAATTTCTTAAGAAGGCTGACCCTCCGTCGTGGGGAAGGTGGGTCAGGCAGTGTTTTTTCTGTGAAGAAGAGGTAGCTTGGCGGCACCCTCGGGGACAGATCAGGGAGGAGGGGCATCAGTGTGAGTGGTGGTCCTACTCACATTGAACATTTCTTGGCAGTTTTCTGCATCCACATTATCCCATATCATGGACTTCAGAAGTTTTCCTAGAGCATCCATGGATCGTTCGTAGAGAAACTGAAATCAAATGTGAGCGTGTGAGTCTCAGGCTTCGGGGAGACAGCGAAGTCCTATGTGAGATGTTCGTTCTACTCAGTCCTCACTGCCACATACGTTGATGTGCTCCTTGTCCTTGTCCGTCTCGCCCTCGTTTCTGAGCTTTTCTAGAGGTGGTAGGGGAAGCAGCTTCCGGATATTCTCCTCAAGAATATTAAGGTGATCGTTTATTGAGAGCTGAGGTTTCAGTTTGCTGAAATGAGAACCATGTGGAGGAATGGATCTTATGACCAGCGGAACCTACCCAGGGGAATTCTCAAGACCTGTCAATCAAATGGGCCACATTTTCTGAGATCTTGGGATGTTGAAGGAGGTGGTGATGGGAACAGGGAGAGACTGATTTCATAGCATCAGACTGCAAAAAAAGTGAACAAAGGAACTGGAACCCACTTTCCTTCTTTCTGTTTACTATAGACATCGAAGGATAAAACACAAAACCTAACACAACTTGGGAAAATGTGAATGTACAACAAACATTAAAACTTATTTGTTAGAGCATGGGAAGAAGATTAACATTAAACTGGGATGAGAGGTGGGAGGGAAAGGGAGAGAGAAGGGAAATTGCATGGAAATGGAAGAAGACCCTCAGGGTTATACAAAATTTCATACAAGAGGAAGTGAGGGGAAAGGGGAAAATAATACAAGGGGGAGAAATGAATGACAGTAGAGGGGGTAGAGAGAGAAGAGGGGAGGGGAGGGGAGCGGGGATAGTAGAGGATAGGAAAGGCAGCAGAATACAACAGACACTAGTATGGCAATATGTAAATCAATGGATGTGTAACTGATGTGATTCTGCAATCTGTATATGGGGTAAAAATGGGAGTTCATAACCCACTTGAATCAAAGTATGAAATATGATATATCAAGAACTATGTAATGTTTTGAACAACCAACAATAAAAAAATTAAAAAAAATCTATGTAAAAAAACTTCTTTGTTATTGAATAAATGTAAATTAAGACAACAAGATATCACTTGCCAGTTACCAAGTTAGCAAAGAAATAAAAAATGCTGCTGCTGTCAGGGCTGTGTGGAAAAGTTCTTTCAGAGAGCAGTGAGAGTCAGTACTAACCAGGAAACTCCATTTAGATGCTTTTCTTCTTTATGGACTAACTGTGTTTTAAAAAAAATCATCCCTGAGGTAATGTAAGTAATCTGCATCCATTTAAGGTATACAATTTAATAAATTTACAGAGATTACCCATATAAAAACCACCACAATTTTTATAGAACATTTCTGTTGTCTCTCAAGTTTTCTTTATGCCCCTTTGCAGTACATCTTTTCCTGACCTTGGGCCCAGACAACCACTGATTTGCTTTTTGCCATTGGAGATTAGTTTTCAGGTTCTGCAGCTGCTCTAAATGAGGGTAGCCACGAGCCACCTATGGCCATTGGACGCCTGAGTAGTGGCTAGTCAGAATTAACCTGTGGTATCAGTGTGAAACACTGGATTTTGAAGATTTAGAATGAAGGGTAATTTAAAAATTTAAATACATTTAATCTAATGTATCCATTATACTTATAGATACCAAATATGTTATGTAATATAAATTATATGCATATAACTATAATATACTAATTATATTGGATTAAATGAAAAATATATATTATTGAAATTAACTTGTTATTTTCTTTTTAAATTTTTTTAACTTGTTGCTTTTTAAAAATTTTTACTACGTAATTTTAAATGTCATGTAGTAACTTGCATTATATTTCCACTTGACTACACTGCTCTAGAGCCTAGTTTATTCTTAATTCATCTTCAAGATTTACTTGTTTGAGATTTCTACAAATCTTCCTCATCTTTGTTAAGATGTATTTTGGGCTTTCCCTTATCTTGCCTCTTTTTACATTTTGGAAAAATTATGTGGATGATTTTTGCATCTATTCTCTCCAGTAGGCAAAAACTCCTTCAGGGCAGAGCCATATTTTCTTTTTCATTGTTTTTTTTTTTTTTTTTAAAGATTCTTACTCAATAACTGATTGACATGGATGCCACTCAGTGATATTTATTATTTATTGAGGGAAAAATCATCAACTATTATACTTAGATGTTCTGATCACAGTTTTTGCACAAAGGTGTTTATCAAAATTTAAAGTTTTTTAAAATACGAAGCAATTAAATATAATAGGAATAGAAAATTGAGTAAGATGAGGCATAGTTATACAACAAACTATTAGGCAGCTATTAAAATGATGTTTGTTGCTGGGTGCGGTGGTATGCACCTTTAATCCCAGTGGCTTGGGAGGCTGAGGCAGGATGATCACAAGTTCAAAGCCAGCCTTAGCAAAAGCAAGGCACTAAACATCTCAGTGAGACCCTTCTCTAAATAAAATGAAAAATAGGGCTGGGGATGTGGCAGAGAGGGCGAATGCCCCTAAGTTCAATCACTTGTACCTCCTAAAACAAAATAAAATGATGTTTGTTACTTCACCATAATAAATGCCACATATCAAATGTCTGTAGTCAATATCACACTCAGTGATGAAAGACTAAAGAATTTCTCTGTAAGATCAGGACCAAGACAAAGATGTTATTTTCCGCTTCTGTTTGACATAATACTGGATGTTCTGCAGAGCAGTCACGAAAAAGAAGTAAAAGGCATCCAAATTGGAAAGGAAGAAATAAAATGCTCTTTGTTCATGGATACCAGAATCTTATATGTAGAAAATCCTAAAGATTAGAATACATGAGTTCACAAAGTTGTAGTATACAAAAATCAACATAAAAAACAGTTCATTTCTATATACTGATGATGAATGATACAAAAAGGAAATTAGTAATTCCATTTATAAGAGCATGAAAAAGAATAAACTACTCAGGAATAGACTCAACCAAGGAAAACCACAACACATTTTTCTAAGAAATTAAAGAAGACATAAATAAGTGAAAAAAAATATCTTGTGTTCATGAACTAGAACATTTAACAAAGAGAGTTAGAATTAGATCTTAGTATTGTTAAGATTAAACATACATATTTAATTGTAATTACTATCCAAATACCAAGAACACCTTTTTCAGCAATAGAAAAATCTATTCTAAAATTAATATGGAATCTGAAGGGAACCTACGTAGTCAACATAGTCTTGAAAAGGACTGAAATTGGAATTCTTACACTTACAGATTTCAAAACTTATTATAAAGCCACAGTAATCCAAATAGTATGGTACTGGCATAAAGATAAAAATATAGATCAATACAATAGAATACAGAGTCCAAAAATAAACCCTCATATATATGGTTAAATGATTTTTGACAAGGATACCAAGACCATTCAATAGAGGAAAGGATAATATTTTTCTCTTTATTGCAATATTTATATTCTATTGCATATATTTAAGGAATACAGCATGGTGTTATGAGATCTAAATTAAAACGGTTACTGGAGAGAAACACATTGACACATCTATCATTGCATACATTACCCCTTCTTGCTCTGTGGAAAGTGCAGTTATAATCTTACAAGCAAAAATCCTTAGTACAAAATAGGATGCTTATTAGTATATTTGTTAATGCTGTACATTGCATCCTTGGACTTATTCATCCTACATGTTTGCTACTTTGTACTTTTTTATCTACATCTCCCCATTTCCTTCCACTTCACCTGCCCCTGTTAATCATTGTTTTATTCTCTATATTTGGATATTTGACTTTTTCTTTATATTCCACATTTAAGTGAGACTCTGAATTATTTTTCTTTCTATATCTGGTTATTTTACTAAGCACAATGTCCTCCAGACTTATGCATGTTGTGACAAATGGCAAAATATCCTCATTTTAAAAGCTAAATAATATTCTATTGCATATACTCCCCACAGTTTGTTTTACCCATTCATCTGTCCATGGCCACTTTGGTTGTCTTTGTATTATAGCTGTAATGAATGATGCTGCAATGAACATGGGAGATGTATATCTTTACAAGGTGGGGATTTCATTTCCTTTGGGGATATACTCAGAAGAGGTATTGCTAATTCTGTTTTTAACTTCTTGAGAGACTTCCATACTGTTTTCCCTCATAGCTATACTAATATAGACTTTCACCAACAATGTACAAGGGTTCCCTTTTCTCCACATCCTTGTCCACACTATTATCTCTTATCCGCTTAATAATAACTATCCTAATGGGTGTGAGGTGATTTAGAGGTTTTGATTAGCATTTTCCCTGATGATTAGTGATACTGAGCATGTTTATATATAACTCTTGGACATTTTTATGTCTTCTTTGGAGAAATGTCTGTTAAGATTTTTTTTAAATGCATCTGTTTACACTGGGTTATGTTTTCTTGCTATAGAGTTGTGTGAGTTCCTTTTGAATTTTGGAAATTAAATCCTTCTCAGATATATGGTTTGCAAATATTTTTTCCCATTCCACAAGTTGCCTTTGTATGCTGTTGATTGCTTTATTGTGGTGTAGATGCTTTTTAGACTACATCAAATGTAAAAAGTTCTGGCACCAAAGGACACACAGAGTGAAAATATGACCTATGTAATGGGAGAAAGCATTTGCAAACTGTTTATCTTATAAGGGGTTAATTTCTAGAATCTATAAAGAACTCCAGTAACTCCACAGTAACAAAACAATTTGATTTTAAAAATGAATAACGGAAATGGATGGACATTTCTCTAAAGAAGATATACAAATGGCCAAAAAGTCCATGAAATGATACTCAGTATCACAAGTCAGTAGGGAAATGTAGCAGTTCACAATGAAGTACTACTTCATACCCATTAGGATGGCAACTATAATTTTTAAAATTTGTTCTTTTTAATTCTACATGACAGTAGAATGTATTTTGGCAGAATATGCATATATAGAGTACAAATTATTTACTTAGAATCTCACTCTTGTGGTTGTACAGTTGTGGAGTTACCCTGATCGTGTATAAAATACAAGTTATGACTGATTAATTTTAATGTCTTTTCTATTCCCCATCCCCCTTCCCTTTCCTTTATTTAATCAAATAGATTTCTATTATTTCCCTCCCCAACTTCCCTTGTTTTGGGTTAGTATTCATGAATCAGAGAGAACATTTGGGATTGGCTTATTTCAATTTGCATGATATTCTCCAGTTCCATCCATTTACTGGCAAATGCCATAATTTCATTTTTCTTTATGGCTGAGTAATATTCCACTGTGTATATGTACCACATTTCTTTATCCATTCACAGATGGCAACTATTAAAGACACCAGAAAATTTCAAGTGTTGATGAAGATGTGGAAAAATTTGAACTCTTAAACCCTGTTGGTGGGAATATAAAATAATGCCACTGCCATGGAAATCACTATGGTGGTTCTGCAAAAAATAAAAAAAAGAATTACCATGCAATGTAGCAATTCCACTCCTGGGCATATGCCCAAAAGAAATGAAAATAGCATCTTGAAGAGATATGTGCACCCCATATTCATAACAGCATTATTCACTATAGGTAAAAGATGGAAGTAACCCAAGTACTTATCAAAAGATGAATGGATAAAGATATGTCAGATATATATCTATATCTCACATCTATATCTACATATATCTCAGCATTAATAAATAAATAAAATTCTGATGTGTACTATAGCCTGGATGAATCTTGAAGACATTGTGCTAAATGAAATAAGCCAGTCACTTGACAAATACTGTATGATTTCACTTATATGAGGTGCTAGAGTACACAGATTCCCAGAGACAGAATACTAGTGGTTTCCAGTGACTGAGGGGAGGAGAAAATGAGGAGCTATTGTTCAATGGATATAGAGTTTCAGTTCTTAAGAAGCTCTTGAGGTTAAGGGCACAACACTGTGAGTGTACTTAACATGATGGAACTCTTCCCCTAAGGATGACTTAGATGATACATTTTATGTTGTATAGGTTAAAATAAAAAGTGTTGTTTGTGAAGAATGAATAACAAAATGGGACTACATAACATGAAGTGAGAAAAAGCAAGATAAAAAAACCACATGTAGAGTAGCATCTCAATTATGTAATAAAAATGGAAGACTAGAAACAAAGACTTGAAGGAAGCATGTCAAAATGTTGAGAGTAGGGGGCTGTAAGCTATCTTTACTATTAATTAGTTTTTTTTCTATAGCTTCCTAATTTTAACAATAACTTTGAATTTGTTTTACTACAGTGGGAAATATGTCTTTAAAAACTTGATTAAAATTATTTCTTCTTCAGGTTTATTGCTGCTAACCAACTAGAATGTGATTAGGACTTTCATGAGATTTTAATGGGAAGATTAAAATTTGTCTGCAGACAAAGATGTAGGAAGAGAAATTTCCTTTTACACAGAGATTTCAGTCTCATATAACAATAAATCTGATTCCTCTGAGTAACTCTTTGTCCTTGTCATTCATCAAATGATCAGTCTCTCTGCCGGTTTGGTAATGCTTTGGAAAGAGAAAAAGCTTCTGTTTTAAAGCTCCCTTAAGGAATTATGTTCATTTGGGGGAGGGTGTGCAGGATCAGGAGTGGTGGGGAGAAAGAAATCCTTTTCCATGAGAATAACAAAACATTCTCTACCTTAGGTACCTGATGGCAATTAAGGCTTTCCACCGAATGGGGCTAGCTAAGGAGTCCAGGGGCTCATCCCTGATGAAGTCCTGAAACACAAACAAGGAAGTGAAATGTTTCAGAAAGGATCAGGGGAGTTCCCAGACACAGTGCCATCCTCATTGGGCCCTTGGTGCTCTGGGGCAGAAAGAGCAAAAACCTGTTACATGGCACTGATGAGTTTCACCCATTTTTAAATGGAACACTTGGGGGCTTCCTCCTTCCTTTTTCGCACCCTCACCAGCATGTAACCGATCAGCATTTCTTTGTAGGAGAACTGGAACTGCTTATCCTCAGCATCTTGGACAGCAATGCCTATCTCAGTGATGCTTCTGGTGAAACTCATTTGCAGATCTATGTCCTAAAGCAAAAAAAATAAAAAATAAATAAATAAATAAATAAATAAAAACATTGTAAGCTGAGGTCTTAGGTACCACAGCTGGATCTGTTGAAATAAGTGCTCAGACAGGAGGAAGAATCTTTGTTCCCTTTGACATCTCTATCCCAGCCTGGGATCTAAGTTGCAAGGAAGTTAAGCAAAGCGCTGGGGCTGCAGCTCAGTGGTAGAGCACTCGCCTAGCATGCGAGGCACTTGGTTCAATCCTCAGCACCACATAAAAATAAATAAATAAAATAAAGGTATTGTGTCCATCTACAACTCA